GCTTGCAAGACCAAAATTGCAAAAAAATATACATCCATAAGTAAAATAAATGCTTTGCTAAAAGTGGACCCCATAATTATCAGAAAGGCTGAATCAGGACTCAATTGATAAAATAGTTTAGGATATGAAATCCTTAACAATGAACAATGTTTTGAATTGCTGGGACAATTGGTATTTTGCAGATTCAACAGCTAATCTTCAGGACCAAATATCTAGCATTAGGTCATCATTTTGGGTGTTGTCTATGACAGGAAAAAGATGCTCTTATTTTTCTACAAGTTCTTACAAAAGGTGAGTGCTGATGACTACTATAAGGTCCTGAGGTAACATGTTTTGCTATGGCTCAAAACCAATTACTCAGAAGTCTATATGTTAACCCAGGATGTTGTCCCCAGCCACTCAGTCAATAATGTGCAAATGTTCTGCAATGTTAATTGCTTATTTTTGACCAGCAGACTTTTGGCTTTTCTCCAGATTGGACAGGAATCCACTAAACTATGCTGTGTGGGGGATTTAGGAGCAGGTGACCAACAGGACCTACCGCTCTGACATAAACACCCACAAAACTGCCATCAAGGAGGTATGGGCTAAATGCCCAAGGACTTCATAGCTAGAAGTTGCATATATTTTCAAAGTCATATTGACATAGCTAGTTTACAAAAAAATGAAAGCCACATTGAATGTGTTGATATTATCTGAATTTTATTCATATCCTTTTGTATTCATTGATTTACAACCTGTCTGAAGTTATTATGCAAATCAAATAAACCTCAATAGCTTAAAAAGTTCTGAACTAATATTTGTCAAATTTTAACCCATCTATTTCCACCTTTAGTAAAATCTAGTCAACCTTTTTTCACTAAATCAAATATTTTAAAGTGTCAAAATTGGGCCAAGAAATACATGAAAATTGACTTTTCTAAATTTTCACAGATGAATCGCAAGCAAGATTTGATGGACATGATGGGTTGGCCAAAGGATGAATTTTATCCAATTCAGACATGCTTATGGCTAAAAGGCAACAATGAGGTGGTAGTGTTATGATATGGACTGGAACTATCAACCAAACCATTATTGGACCAGAAGTATGTATTTATGCTCCCTTTCATGTATCTAAGCTTACCTGTGAGTTCTTTGAGCATAAAAGATTTACAGGAGAGAAGATAATGGAATGGCCACCATCAAGTCCTGATCTGAATCTGATTGAAAATCTATGGTCAATTGTGAAAATGAAATTATATAAAGGTGGCAAAACAATATAACAGCAAAGTAGACCTATGAGAAGTAATTAAAACTACCATGTTGGAAATTGAACCTGCTGAAGTAAAAAAAAAATTAACAAAATCAATGCATAATAAATTACTGGCTGTTATTGAGAAGAAGGGTCACTATATTAAAATGTAAAAGATGCAAAGACTTATGTGTTTGTTATTTGTTCTATTATAGGTGTTGAGCAATTTTTGATGGTTTTATTATCTTTTCATTGAAGTAAAATGTGATTATTTGGTTTTACCTAATAACTTCACATAGCAGTTTTTTTTAAATACATCAAATAACTTCAATAAAACATTGATACTATCTATAATTTTAACTCGGGCTTTATTTTGACATCTAAATTGATTGTTTAAAATTTGACAATTTTTTCAAACCAAATTTGAATTATTGAAATTTATATGATTTGCTTAATAAGCAAGTTTTGAATATAGTAATAATTTTGAAAATTTTGTTTCCCCATCTGACTGCATAGATATATCAAATAGATATTAAAGAGATATTTATAAATTTAGTTCTAGAAAATGAAAGTAGTTCAAATAACATCTACTAATATCTGAATATATCTTATGAAATAGTATTTAAAATCATCTGCATACATTATTCATAGCATTTAAATCCAACAGAAAACATTTCCATCAGTATATTCAGTATCATTTAAACTCAGTGTTATCAACTAAGGTTCTAAAAAAATTCTCATGCAAATTATTGTGAACTTCAAAATATTTAAATTACTTTTAAGTAATCATTAGAATATAAATGGAGATGATTTTGTTGTCATTTATAAACAACTGATTAGCAAGTTTTGGGATTTTCATTTATAATTATTATTTATATGAAGCATTAATGAATTCTGTTTAGATATAAGAGTAGAAAAAAGAAGTGATTATATTGAAATAAAATATTTTCATAATGAAAGTCTTAGTAATAAAGTAAAAAAAAAAACAAAGAAAATGAATGAATACATGATTAGGTCAGAGGCAAATGACACTGAACTGCTTGCACACAATTGAAAAATTGAGTTTAAAATAAATCACTAATATCTAAATGCTAATATATTGTAAGAAGTTAGTTTTATGTCTTAGATGTTTGAAAAGAATTTTCTTCATAACTTACAAATATAAAAGTGTGATTGCATTGACATTCTTTCTAGAAGCTATATTTTTAAAACTGTTTTAATTTTACATTTTATTTTGAATTTATGAAGGATTTCTACAAAGTTTTTTTTCAGTTTGATAGCATTAAAAACACTGACCAAAATATATAGAAATGACTATCATATATAAAGTACAGTGTATGTGTGTGTCCAAGCAACTTCTCTGCTTTATACTGGTCTGGTTCAAATGATTCATAGCTAATTCAAAAGCCCTAGAAAAGTTAGGTGCAGGGAATGATTTTTGTTGAGCTCAGATTCAGGATTGCCAGATTATGCGAGGTTAAAAATATATATTTTTTTAACCTTGTGATATAATATAATAGCCACTATCGTTGCTTTCATGGTCAAGGAAAGTAACTTATTTTCCTTTTGTATCCAAAATTGCGGCTAGCTTAAAATTTTAAGTTAGCTAAAATTTTAAGCTAGCTTAAAAGCCAACCTATTGGGCAGCATTTAAGCTGGCTCCTGTGGAGGACTCTTGGTTTGGCTATCATCACAATAGCTAGGGAGGAGTAGATGCAATAAGCATCAATAAACTACAGAAGAACTCAAAATTGATCATTGCATTTAAGTATTGAATTAATGTTTAAGCTTACCTTTTAAAAGTTCAACAATAATTCTGCTGCTGACACTTAAAGACTATTTGATGTATGTAGATCCTTATTTTCTGTGCAAACTATTTTTATTTCATGGGTGACAGAAAAGGGGACAATTTATAAGATGAAATTAATATAGTGTGAAGATGAGAAAATAGAATTAGTTATACATTCAACATTTGGAGGATTAGAGAAACATAATAGCTAATTAAGTAAAACCTATATTATGGAATCTATATAAATAAATGCAAAATTGGAGCTCCCACAATCCCAAGATTAAAAAGCCCCACCTCTACTTTATAGTAATTTGTATCCCTCCCCCGAAAATATCAAGGCTGGTTTAATGTGGGAAGCCCGAATGCGTACACCCATGCTAGAAATAAAAATTGCCCGAGCCCCCACAACCGTTGATTGTGCTGGCCTCAGTGTAAGCACCAATCCCTCTCTCTGGTGCAATGAGAAGATGCAGCCTTGGGCAGCTGTTCCCCAGGGCTGGGTACCTCTCAGTATAATTTTCTTCAACTGTCCTTTGATGGAGTCACCTCTGAGTGCACTCTGCCCAAGGAGAGAGACTCAACTGAGACATGATAAATAGATGTGTTACAAACCACTCCAAGGAGTTCTGGATTTAGACACTAAAAGCTGAATATCTCTATTATATATTATCTTCTTCTAGGCAATATCACTCTTCAAGTTTAACTAATTTGCATATTGATTTTAAAAAAAGTTTATTTCATTAATTAACTGTCCTTCCTTATGGTTCTTTTATTCATGGATTGTTTTAATTTTCATATCAAAAATAGTTCTGTGTAGGAATATCGTTTTATATAGTGCAGAAATGTGTTTGAAATTTGCATTTTACTTGGCTTTCAACAAGTTGGCATCTATTTGTAAAACTTTCCTTAACTATAACAAGCCAATTTATGAATGAAATGTTCATTTAAAATTTTAGTTTCAAAGATTTCAAGTAGTAAATATATCTTACTTTGTGAAGTGATAATGAGTGGGTGAAGCCTGTTAGTAGAATATATATATATATATATATATATATATATATATATATATATACATGAAAAGCATTTTCATATTTTTTAATATATTTTCAAGACAATTTTTACAGTAATTTAATAATCAGGAAAAAAATGTTAAATAAAAATAAAGTTAAATTAAGTATAAAAGATAGAACAAAAATAAAATCTTTAAAAAGTTATATACAAAATGTTTTTCTACTAACCATCAAAGCATATCAGTTCTGGATGTAACATTCATAACATAATTTGGTATAAAAATGACAAAGAATTTCACATTAAATAAAACCTGTCAGCAAGACTGGATTACTGTAATGAATTTCAGAAATTGAAAAGTGCAAAAAGGTAAAGAATTCACTTTTAAAATGATTCTTTCTCTTCCACACTCTTATTAAATGAGTAAGAAAAGACCTGAAGAACAATGTTTATTGAATACTTTCATTTTTAGAATCATGTAGCAAAATGTGCACCTGGTTTGTGAAAATATAAAAAAAAAAAAAAAAAACATATTGCCACAATCTGTTCATTAACAGCCCAAAAGAGAGAACATAAGAAACAAAAAAGTAATAATATAAAGATATCTGGTAACAAAAGTAGAAATACTGCAATAGATGCTTATCAGAAATTGTCATATTTGGATTCTCGTCGAATTGTAACTTCCATATTTTCACAAAATTTAGGACTTCCAAATGGAATGCAATTGAAGTATTGACAGCCATTGCACTGGTACACGGGAAAGACATAGAAGAAGATGACAAGAATGATAATTAAGATGATGCTAAAACCAAGTCCAACACCAATTGTAATCATCTTTCGACGAGTGTCAAAATTTCCAAATGTAATATAAGGGAGTAAGGCAAAGGCAAGCATTACTCCAAATATAAAACCAACAATATGTGCCCAGTTGTCAATCCAGGGTAGCAAGCCCATGATAAAAAGTAGAATGACCACGACAACAAATTTGAGGACTGAGCGGCATGGATTTTTCAGCATCTGCCAATTTTGAAGGACTTCCACAAGGGGGCAAGCCAAAATACCAAACTGAGAACCAGCAGGACCAGCCTGAAGAAACAAACAAAAATCAGCATAAAGAAATTCAAGATAACAATTGTCATTTTAACTTTTACTCCAAATTTGTGTGTGTGTGTGTGTGTGTGTGTGTGTGTGTGTGTGTGTGAGAGAGTAGAGAGAGATTCTTAAAGAAGGTCTAAAACCACTGTAAGAATATTTTCACTTTTTAAGTTACTAGTATTATCACAAAACTTAATACTTTACAATCACTTATACAAATTGATAGAATTAATTTATTAATATTTGAATTTGATATATTTAATATAACCCAATTATCTCAAATTATTGCTAAATAATGATTCAACATATTAAAAATAGAATAATAAAATGTAGTATGGATCGTGTACAAAAGCAGCATATCTATAAAAATTCACATATTCTACTCATTCTATGTATATAATAGGAATGATAATGCTGTACACAAGTTCAAATTTAAAGACAATTCTACTAAAGCAGAGTGACTAATACAGGTTTAAGCCTTGTATCAACAGGCCTGTCAAAAAGAGCAGACTCAGATGGACAGAAGATAAATAATTAAACTATTAATCCAAAAAGAAATAAGTTTATATTATTCGAGAAATGAAGGATGGCTCAACTGTAAATTTACTATCTTTGGATTAAATAAAACAAACAGCTAACACTGAAATTATTGAATTTCATATTTATACATATTTTTATAAATGTAAAATTAAACGGGTACTTTAATAATTAAGTGTATAATCTTTGTATAATTTTGTCTGCCAAAGTCTTAAATAAACCAACCAAATTTATTGGTATTTCATCAATTATTTTTTATTCTTTAAAATTATTCTTTGTAACTTTTTATTTTGGATGACAACTAAATATATATATATATATATATATATATATATATATAAATTTAAAAAAATGATGATATAAAAATAAATCCTACCTCAACTTGATACGGTAAAAAAATAGCACTTGCTAAATTCCCTGCAATGCCACTACCAAAATAAATGACAGCAATCCGTATGCATCCAGCAAGTTTTTCTACATCTCTCATTACAAAACCTTGGAATATCACAGTGACAATTAAGTGAATCAGGCTGAAATATATAAATACAAAATGAAAAATATTTGTATACTCTAAAATTTCAAAAAGATATTTATGTAAATAGTCAATTACAATAAATAGAATGATACCAGAAAAATAATCTGTTTATTAAAATATAACAGCAACAGAAATAGCTAACAGTGAAAAATTATATGAATACCTAATGTTACAAATACAAATTTCAACTTTCGATTTACATTTCTATAATTAACATGAGATAATGTACTGAGAATAATGCTCAGTAAAGGAGTAATTATGTATTATTAAAATGATGTTTTATGAATATAAATTTTACTTATTCCTCCAGCATTTATCATTTGTATCTTATGAGTAAGATATAGATGAATTTAAAATTTAACATTATTTTTTTTTAATACTAATAAGATCAAATATTACAACATTTATGCTTGAACATATAGAAGGCTTTCATAAGATCAAAAACAGTAGGAGAGAGAATACATTTTTAGTTAAACCCTACAGGAAATAGTCAATGGCATGGGTGAAAAGATACTGTCTAGAGCAGGGGTTCTCAACTTGTCAAGATTTTATTGATTGCACTGAATCCACATTCAACCAAATAAGAGGTTGGAAAGCATAGCAGTATTTTAGCCATTTCAGACCACATGTTCGGATAAAGCTGCTTTGCTGTATTTGACAGCCATAATTCTGTTATTCTGCTGCTTTCAAATTTGTACTTGCATTCATCATTGTGTTTCAATTCAATAAGATCTTCCTGCATATTTTCACTGACAGCTTCTATATCCCAACTGAAGAGATATATTATCCATGGATAGACCTATAATGAAAATAAATCTGAAACTCAGCTACTCAGTTCTTCCAATTTCACTAAATAATCTGCATACTTTTTACTAGTTTGTTCTGAGAGGTTTTCACTTACTTCTGTTGACTCAGGCATGTTATTGAAATTCTTCCATATATTACCTCAAAATAAGTCTAATTTTTCACAAAAGGCTTTCAGAACACATTTGCGCATAATTTACCTTGAATTTGGAGCAAAACTTCACTGAACTTTCAAAAAATCCATGCTAAAAAGTAAGTGTCACATTTGTGATGACTGATTTCCTCTACCAAATTTTTCTCAACCACATTTTCCAAGAAATTAACTATTGTAACAAATAGGTTTACAAATCTGGCCAGGCAGTTTCCTTTTGAAAGCCAATGGACTTCCATTCTATATGGATAATAAGTCTTATATGCTGTTCTTTGGTAATACAAAACTTTTGAAAAAGTCTGTCATATTTGCTAAGAGATTTTATTGACTGTTTTAATAACTACTGTCGATGATTCATGAAGATCAGGGCTAATATTTTTAGCAACTGAATGATGGTGATGTGCCATGCAATGCACAGCAAGAATAGAAGGACATATTTTTTAAATGTGCAACAAATCCCCTATGCATACCAAACATGAATGGAACGCCATCCTTTATACAGGATACCAAGTTTTCAAAGGCTACTTGATTTTCATCAAACCAAGATTTTGCAGCTTCAAAAATGGATAATCCAGTGGTATCACTTTCTGAAAGTTTCATGAACAAAAACTCTTCACGGTTTGCAGTAATACTCTATATAACGAACACATGCTTACTGAAGATTCGTCAATTTGAATTGAGAATTTAGTGCTCCTTAATTTTTCAGATAGTTGGCTTTCCACATCTGCTAACATTTCTTCAATTTTTCTCCAGATTGAATCATTTCTCAGTGGCAATGCTTTTAAAACATTTGCCAAATATTGCTGCAACACAATTTTTCATGAAAAATTCAAAGGAAGGCTTAATAATATTTTCAGTATATCCATTTCAGGTTTTTCTTTAACTTTTCAAAATAAGCAATGGATTTGTTCACTTTATCAGGATGTTTTCTTTTTAAATGCTCTAAAAACCTTGATGGTTTCATCACTTCATTAGAAAATGAGCTGTTGCAAATAAGTCACATAGGTTGCTTTTGATCAAATGGGTTTTCTACAATACTGTCTACATTTCTTTTTGATACTTGTGTTTAATGAAAAAAAGGGCTAAAAATATAGCCACCAGGAAAACTTAACTTTTTTCAATTTTTTAATTTTAAAATAAATATAAATAAATATTTTAAAATAAATAAATATAAATAAAATGATTATAACTGTTATTATTTTAAAAATTAATACAAACAAAATGATTAAATTTAATTTTTTAATATTTAAAATTAATATAAATTTTAATTATAAACATTTTTCATTTTAAAATTTCTATAAATAAAAAGTGTAAAAAATTTCTTTCATAATTTTGTTTTTTTTTTTTTTATAAAAATTAAAATAATTTGTTAATTTAATCATGTTAAAACCCCAAAAATAGAAATTTCAAAAAAGTAAAGTTGTCCTGGTGGCAAGTTGTCCCAGTGCTGATTTGTACCCTCTTGAAAAATATAACACAGAAACAATATTTTCATCCCAAAGTTATTGTCACTAACACTTTATCTAGTTATTAACATTATCACTGTGATTATACCAACATAAAAATTGGACATCATCCACTTTTCAAGATTACTGTTCAAACACCGCACTGCAATGTGCAAGTCAGCGAGTGATAGACAATGCTTGCTATCAGATACTGAATGAAATGTTTCAAAATCATTAGTTCAGTTGAACCATTTAGTGATGTGTAACTGTTTTACAAAAAAGTCATATTGCCCCATTGAGAATGCCTGGTCTAGAGGATGAATTTACAGGTCTATGCAGATGGAATGAAAAAAAAGGTAAATATACACAATTTATATTTTTTCAAGGAAAAAGTTAATGCGCAACTAAGTAAAACAAATTAAACAATTTCACCTATAACAAATTTCCTATGTTCAGGAGACAAACAAAAAACAAAAACAAAAAAAAAAAACCAACAAAAAAAATCACTTACCCTCCATGAAGGAAGAGTGCTGTGAAGAGCCTGTAAAATTGATCAGGTTTTTCTTTGTAATAAAAAGGAATCATACCACAAATCTGACTTAAGCAATCAACCTGAAAAATATAATTTTATTTCAAAGATCAAGAAAAAAATAATATTTGAAATTTTCTATAATAGTAAACATATCACATTGTTTTTAAATAATAATGAAAATTATTCAATAATTTTTCTGTTTTTGTAATTTTAATTTTTAAGTATTTTTCTTTAAGTTCTGCTTCATTACCATCATTTTCAACTGGAAAAAGAAAAAAGCAAACAAATGCAAATTATTTGTTATGGCCTGAAGAGTTGGCTAGTAAATTATAGAAAAAGAAACAACATTCTTACTTGGGAACAAAGGTAAGCTTCTTCATGATAATATCCATGTACAAAGTCACAGTGTTGTCGAGTTGTTACAAAGCATTCACCTTGGATACCATGGCAACATGGACGAGCTACAACATCACAAGTCATGTGGCGATCTATCAAACTAGCCTTTGACTGATTGAGTTTATTTGGTTCCTCACAAATCTGAAATTAAAAAAAAAAAAAAAATTAAACTGTGAATAGATTTGCTAAATAACTTTGAATATAAAAAGGATGAAATAAACATTAAATTATTTTGATACTTTTTCAATATTCTAGAGTTACTTAGATTTTTAAAATGATTTTATTAGAATGATCAATGTGTTTGATTTAAAATATCCTTAGACATATACTTTTACTGAAGTGACATTTATTTCAGTGGAAAATAAGATTAGATCAGACCTCCCAAATAAATGGAATCTACTCAGTGATAAAAAAATCAATTAAAATAATAATATATCTCAACTAATAAATTCTTGAATATAAATATTCAATAATTTTTCTGAAATTCCCTAAGTTTAAATTGTAAAGTACTTAGAAGTGGTGATTATCACACACACACACACACACGATGCTCTTAAAAAGAATTATTCATTATTGGTGAATTTGTTAGAACTCTTACTTTTATTTGGTTGGAAAAAAATCCACATAAATAAAATACTTTACTTCTACATTGAGACTGTATAGGCTTTCACCTGTGCCACTGCCCATTTTCTACACAAAATATTTACCAATTCTAGATTCCATTTTGTCTTTAGCCCTCAGTGTTTTAGTTTCACTGGCCCTCACTTTATAAGATATAAGTGTAATTTTTCATAAATTTCACAAAACATGATTTGCTTAATTTATTGTTCCATTAACCTATAAAACAAGCAAAAAATAATAAGAATAGACTTAACACCCAATAAATTTTTAATGTTTTGACAAAAATTCAGAGATCGAGTGATAATCTGGAAATAAATTAGTGTTAATTTTAAGAGAACGAACTTCATGATCTTAAACTGGTCAGAAGAAAAATAAACTATCAGATCACAAATGCAATACTTACAAGCCATTCAGTAATATCTTGACTCCACTCAAAAGGTGCTTGTGAAGCTGGCTTATGGCAATATCTGAAATTAGAAAATGCAGATCAGGTAATTTTTCATTGCTTCTGTGTCAAAGTGAAACATCTCAAATTTTAAAAAGATTCCATTTAATATAGATTTTAGTTTAAATTTATTACTAAAATAATAGAACTTGAATGAGTTAAGACTGAAGTATAATTTCTCAAGAGACTCACCAAAACCTCAACACAATACCACATTTTACTGACAACAGTACATAATGTATTTTAGATTTAGTCAAGATGCTGCTACCATCATACTTCCCAGAGAATACACCCAAACTGGTAGGTATTATAGTGGTCATAAAATGAAAAAAAAATTGAGTTGGTTTTCTATGCTTTCTGGGCATCAATTGATTCTTTACAAACTGCTGTGATGAAAAGAAATTATTTTCAAACATTTCCTCTTAGTTTGTTCTTTTACATCTTACATATCTGCTAGTCAAACCACAAATCTGTCACTTCAAAAATGTGGATAATTTTCAGAAAAAGAAATCTAGATATTTTGAGATTCTAAAATTCTAAATATCTGGATCAGATGTTTCTGATAGATAAATTTTAAAAAATTTTACCTAAAACAGTTATATGAAATTTGTTTTTTATAAAGATATGCATATGTCTATACAACCTATATATACGTATGCATATATATATATACATTACCACCTATACTTGGTATGCATATATGTATATACACGTACGTGTATGCGCGTATATATTTAGACGTATATATATATATATATACACACACGCATATATCTTTTAGACCTGTCAACTTTTACATTTTCCTAATGTATATCTTTATATATATATATATATATATATATATATATATATATATATATATATATATATATAGAGAGAGAGAGAGAGAGAGATATGTATCAAATATAAATTGAAAACCCAGTATTACATTTAAAGTTCACCTGAAGATTGCGTTCTTCCGTTCTTTTCAAGGCAAAAATGAAATCAAAATATTATTGTCCCAGCAGCTACATCAAAAATCCAAATTTAAAAGATAGACCCTTCTGTCTATAATGTAACTATAACAGCAATAACATTTCAATTTTCATTTTTGCCTTGAAAAATCAGAAGACAAAACGTCGGCAAATGTAAGATTTTTTTCCAATTGTCATTTGAAGAATTGTTGTCCACAGAATTCTGGGAATTTAACTTATATATATATATATATATATATATATATATATATATATATATATATATATATATTTATTTATTTATTTAAACGTGAAATGCTTAGTAGATACTTAAAACATAAATTTCTTGCTTTAATTGAAAAAAAACATTTTCCAAGAAATAATCCTCTTACCAAAATTTTTAACAAAATACCCTAAAATTAGGTTATAGTTGTACTGATAATTTTTAAAAAAATTATAAAAATAACAATAAAATTTTAAAAAATACTTAAACCAGAATTTTAAAAAAATAAAAATCCAGACATAAGAATAAAAAAAAATTATGTAACTATAGGAATCCAATAAATTGCCCATTGAATAATAAATGTCTTAAAGAATCTATAGTTTACCAATGTACTATCTCATCTATTGAGAATCCTAATATTAAATTTTTTATATTGGTTGCACTAAAATAATTTTAAATCAAGGTGGTGCCAACATCTGTCTTCCTTTAAAAATAATGTGTATCATAAGCAAATATCCCTATCCAAATATTTTTGGCATTTAAAAGAAACAAATAACCCCCCCAACAGTAAAATGGAAATTATTTAAAAAAAGGAACTTGTAGGTCTTTAAATGACCCATGTCCTTTGTGCCTACATGAAAAGTTATATATTAAGTTTCTAAAAAATAAAGATTTCTTAAATCAAAGAAAAGAAATAACTTTTTTTTGTAGACATTGTATTATATTTACTTTAAAACATAATAAAAAAATTTAATAAATTATATATCTATTATTTGATCATAAATAAGTAAAAAATTGTGTAATTAAATTTCTAAATGTTAAATCTTAATTTTAACAATATTGTATCAAATATACTAATAAATAAATATAGTATTTTAAATCTTTATATATAAAAAATATAAATATATAAAATATGATTTAATCATATTTAAGAAAAGCCCCTTTACAAAAATCCCAATGTATTTTATAAAAAATAAATAAAAAATGCCAGATTGCAGCCTATCTTATGATAGGCAGGATGACATATCTCATCATATAAGTAAGCCAGTATCAACTGGCAGAAATTACAAACCCACACCTAACCCTTAATCTATATGTACACTTTGCCATCTTAAATTAAACTTTTATCCTGATTTGTCAAAAAAGGCAACACCCCTTTAAAATTTTGTAATCCCTTTCCTCCTCCAATTTAAACTATATAATACTATTTAGCTTAAAAAAGTAATTTTTTTTTTAGTTATTCAACATTGCTTGAGAATGGAACAAAAACTTTAGGTTTAATTTAAAGTTTAGTTTATAATTCCAAAATATGGTAATTTCTGTGTCATGATGAATATATATTTTTAAATAATAATATTATAATACTAGCAGTAGAGACTGGCGTTGCCCGAGGATGTAACAGTAAGAGATAGATCAAGTATCGCCCATCATAAAGACGGAAAAATAAAATTGACAAAGATTATAGTTTAAGGTTGACGGACACACGCATGTCTTAATTAGTTTTCAATCGTTATAGTCTACCGATTGAATAGAATTTCATTATAAACAATTCTCTTGTAAATGGAATTTTAAATCATTCTGAATGTAAAAAGTAAAAAAAAAGTGTGCAAGACAATAAGAAACACTACCTGCCAAAAAAAAAAAAAGTGATGTTTTGTTGAAATCGGTTGATACAAACGTCCATACACACACACACAACCTGGGTTTTATAAGTATAACTCAGTATGAGTTGTCCCCTTTCATCTTACTATTATCTATAGAGATTGTGTGTGTGTGTGTGTCTGTACATTTATATATTGGATCGGATTTCCAGCATTTTTCAACCGATTTCAACAAAACCTCACAGGACTACGGAAATTACCTTGGTGGTTCTAACAGCGCCAGAAATATTAAAAAAAACTATTGTTTTTGCACGAAATCAATTTGAAAACATGGTTAAGTGTATCACACCAAGCCGGAAGTTACTGCTGGCTATTCAAATGTCTGAATGCCATTAACTTCCGGTGACTCAGCGTTTGTATTTTTTTTGTTTTTTTCAGAGAACGATACACAAAAAGTAAACAAATGAAATCTAAACATAGACAAGTCCTCCTAACTAAAAATAATAACCGGAATTTATTTTTTAAATACACAAGGTGTCCAAATTTTTTTTACTGTAAGTAAAAATCATAAATTCTAAAAGATTACAGAAAGGCTACTAAAAATGAATACGATTTGTTAGATCATCTTACTTATTATAAAACGCAGATTGTGTGTGTGTCTGTACATTTATATATTGGATCGGATTTCCTACATTTTTCAACGGATTTTAACAAAACTTCACAGGACTACATAAAATTACCTTGCAGTGGTTCTGATAGCGCCAAAAATTGGAAAACAATTGTTTTTGCACAAAATCAATTTTGAAAACACGATTAAGATGCATTAATGAAAGGGGACAACTCATATCGAGTTATACATATTTAAAAAACCCAGGTTGGTTGGTTGGTTGGTTGGTTGTATGTGTGTGTGTTTATATATGGGATCGGATTCCTACATTTTTCAACCGATTTTCAACAAAACTTCAGTTTTTTTTTTTGGCAGGTAGTGTTTCTTATTGTCTTGCACAGTTTTTGTTTTATTTTTTACATTCAAAATAGTTTAAAATTCCATTTACAAGACAAATGTTTATAATAAAATTCTCTTCAATCGGTAGACTCATAACGATTGAAAACAAGGTTTTTGTTTGAGTTTGGGTTTGACCAATCTTAAAAAAAAAAAAAAAACTAATTAAGACATACATGTCCGTCAACCTTAAACAATAATCTTTGTCAATTTTATTTTTCCGTCTTTATGATGGTTGATACTTGATCTTTCTCTTACTGTTACATCTCCGGGCCATGCCAGTTAATACTCTACTGCTAGTGCCTCTTAATCGTGTTTTCCAATTTTTAGCATTGTCAGAACCACCGCAAGGTAATTTTACATAGTCCTGTGAAATTTTGTTGAAATTGGTTGAAAATGTAGGAAACCGATCCAATATATGAAAAAACACACAACACACACACACACACACACACACAACCTGGGTTTTATAATAAGTATGATGATCTAACAAATCATATTCATTTACTAGCCTTTCTGTAATCTTTTACAATTTATGATTTTACTTACTGAATACAGTAAAAAAATAGCATATTTTGCTTGTGGTGATTCATAATTAGAATTTGATTTGAATATATTTTCCACTCGTTGTTTCTAATACAAAAATATTAACTTTATTTGGGTTTATTAATTATGATCTCAAAAAATCTTATTCATTTAGTAGCCTTTCTGTAATCTTTTTAGAATTTATGATTTTTACTTATTGAATACAATAAAAAAATTGGACACCATGTGTATTTAAAGTAGTTTCTGGTTATTATTTTTTTAGTTAGGAGGACTTGTGTATGTTTAGATTTCATTTGTTTACTTTTTTGTGTATCGTTCTCTGAAAAAACAACAAAAATATAACGCTGAGTCACCGGAAGTTGATGGCATTCAGACATTTGAATAGCCAGCAGTAACTTCCGCTTGGTGTGATGTTTTAACCGTGTTTTCAAATTGATTTTAAAAAAAACAATAGTTTTTTCCCCATTTCTGGCGCTGTTAGAACCACGTAAAAAGGTAATTTCCGCGTAGTCCTGTGAGGTTTTGTTGAAATCGGTTGAAAAATGCTGGAAATAAATCCAATATATAAATGTACAGACACACACACACACACACACACACAATCTGCGTTTTATAATAAGTAAGATGAAAGGGGACAACTCATACTGAGTTATACTAATAAAACCCAGGGTGTGTGTGTGTGTTCATTTGTATCAA